CGTGGTAGTATTGATGGTGTGGTAGCAATGATGGTGTGGTATTGATGGTAGTGGTACTGGCGTGGTAGTATTGATAGTGTGGTAGCACTGATGATGTGGTATTGATGGTAGTGGTACTGGCGTGGTAGTATTGATAGTGTGGTAGCACTGATGGTGTGGTATAGATGGTAGTAGTATTGGCGTGGTAGTATTGATGGCGTGGTAGCAATGATGGTGTGGTATTGATGGTAGTGGTACTGGCGTGGTAGTATTGATAGTGTGGTAGCAATGATGGTGTGGTATAGATGGTAGTAGTATTGGCGTGGTAGTATTGATGGCGTGGTAGCACTGATGGTGTGGTATTGATGGTAGTGGTACTGCACACAGAAATCACTCCCTACGAAAGTAAAAGACTGGGCAGGCGATGCAAAATGCCCCCAATTAAAAGTAGGGGCGCCACTGGTACACTAAGGGAAAACACCATAAGTGTCCGGGGTCTAAGACTGTTCAACAGCCTCCCATCAAGCATTAGGGGAATTGCCAATAAACCCCTGGCTGCCTTCAAGAGAGAGCTGGACAGATACCTAAAGTCAGTGCCGGATCAGCCGGGCTGTGGCTCGTACGTTAGACTGCGTGCGGCCAGCAGTAACAGCCTGGTTGATCAGGCTCTGATCCACCGGGAGGCCTGGTCATGGACCGGGCCGCAGGGGCGTTGATCCCCGGAATAACCTCCAGGTATGGTGTGGTATTGATGGTAGTAGTATTGACGTGGTAGTATTGATGGTGTGGTAGCACTGATGGTGTGGTATTGATGGTAGTAGTACTAACGTGGTAGTATTGATGGTGTGGTAGCACTGATGGTGTGGTATTGATGGTAGTAGTATTGACGTGGTAGTATTGATGGTGTGGTAGCACTGATGGTGTGGTATTGATGGTAGTAGTACTAACGTGGTAGTATTGATGGTGTGGTAGCACTGATGGTGTGGTATTGATGGTAGTAGTACTAACGTAGTAGTATTGATGGTGTGGTAGCACTGATGGTGTGGTATTGATGGTAGTAGTATTGATGGTAGTAGTATTGATGGTAGTAGTATTGATGGTAGTAGTACTAACGTAGTAGTATTGATGGTGTGGTAGCACTGATGGTGTGGTATTGATGGTAGTAGTATTGATGGTAGTAGTATTGATGGTAGTAGTATTGATGGTAGTAGTACTAACGTAGTAGTATTGATGGTGTGGTAGCACTGATGGTGGTAGCACTGGTATGGTAGTATTGATGGTGTGTTAGCACTGGTATGGTAGTATTGATGGTGTGTTAGCACTGGTATGGTAGTATTGATGGTGTGTTAGCACTGGTATGGTAGTATTGATGTTGTGTTAGCACTGGTATGGTAGTATTAATGGTGTGTTAGCACTGATGGTGTGGTATTGATGGTAGTAGTATTGATGGTAGTAGTACTAACGTGGTAGTATTGATGGTGTGGTAGCACTGATGGTGTGGTAGCAGTGATGGTGTGGTATTGATGGTAGTAGTATTGATGGTAGTAGTACTAACGTAGTAGTATTGATGGTGTGGTAGCACTGATGGTGTGGTACTGGTGTGGTAGCACTGATGGTGTGGTACTGATGGTGTGGTAGCACTGGTATGGTAGTATTGATGGTGTGTTAGCACTGATGGTGTGGTATTGATGGTGTGGTAGCAATGATGGTGTGGTATTGATGGTGCGGTAGCAATGATGGTGTGGTATTGATGGTGCGGTAGCAATGATGATGTGGTATTAACCATACCTAAAGTCAGTTCCTGATCAGCCGGGCTGTGGCTCGTACGTTGGTTTGCGTGCAGCCAGCAGCAACAGCCTGGTTGATCAGGCTCTGATCCACCAGGAGGCCTGGTCACAGACCGGGCCGCGGGGGCGTTGACCCCCGGAACTCTCTCCAGGTAAACTCCAGGTAATACCCCGGCCGGGATTGAACCCGCGGTCAGAGATGTGGTATTGATGGTGGCAGCAATGATGGTGTGGTATTGATGGTAGTAGTATTGACGTGGTAGTATTGGTGTGGTAGCACTGATGGTGTGGTGTTGATGGTTGTATTGATGATAGTAGTATTGACGTGGTAGTATTGGTGTGGTAGTAATGGTGTGGTATTGATGGCGTGGTAGCACTGGTGTGGTATTGATGGTAGTATTGACGTGGTAGTACTGATGGTGGTAGTATTGATGGTGTAGTGAGGTACTGGAGTGGGGCGGTACTACTGAGTCTTGGGTGGTACAAGAGATGGGATGGGGATGGAAGGGGAGTGGGAAGACTGGGAGGGAATCTGGCTGGGTGGGTGGGGCGGGATGGAAGTAGTGGTGGTGGTAGTGGTGGTGTGGGGGGGGTTGAGGGGTGACAGTGGAAGGGAGGAGGGGCTTGCTGGGGGACTGACACCTAATCACTGATATTTTATTCCCAAGAAGGGGATTAATCTAGCTTTCAAGTGTGTAAGACTTACACAACTGTGTGTATATACCGTGACTATAGTGGTGATGGTGGTGGTGATAAGTGTCCTGGTGGTGCTGTGGTGGTGCTATGAACCTCCCCTGTCCCCCAACAATGGCCTCGCCTAGCCACGTCCTAGCCACCGCCAGACATACACATCATACACACTCATACCTCACTTCTTCCTCTCGTCAGGATGCTCCTTGCACTTGCTGCTGCACCTTACACGTATATCCTCCGAGTATACATCCTAACACCAGCCCGAGCGTTAGCTTTAACCTGTAAAATCCACAGTAAAGTCCCACTATCCAATTCTTTCCACAAGAGATCGAGAGAAACTGGCTAGCAGACGGGCGAATTTCCCATCAACGCTGCATGCACAGCCCCTCGTGTCTGATTGGTGAGTTCGTAATAATAGCGACCAACGGGAGGGCAGAGATGGCTCACAGCTCGTGAGTGAACGAATACACACCGCCTCCTGTAGTGACGTGGGCGTGAGGGCGGAGCCTCGACCCACGCTCTCACTCTCCCTTCCTCTCTTAGGGACTATATAATGAAATTATCTGGGGACCATTCCTGAAAACCTTACTAGGCTCTCTTTCATCACATTTATATTTTAGCCCCCGCTGCCTGTATGTGGTGGGGGAGTATGTGTATAGTATGTGGAGAGGCGGGGAAGGTATGTTGGGGTGAAATAAGGAGGGTAGAGTGGATAATGGTGGTTGTTTTCAGGTAGTGGTCCTAGTGCCTGGGAGTTGGTCACATGGTGTGTGGTGTGGCTGGCGGCTCCACCAATCACAGCTCGCGCCACACAACACTACCAACAAATACTTTACCATGTAATTGCGGAGGGGGAAACGAAGTCGCCACAACCTGCTCCACCGTATTTTTTTTTCTCTCTCTTTCTGTCTCCTTGGCTCTCCAAGTCTCATATTAATGAAGCATCCCATGACCAATGATGGCAGATGGAACGATCCCATGGCACTCTTGTATCCCCTGCTACCTCCTTCAAGAGTGCCACTGCATGATGAACATTGCTGCGGTAGGTTGACTGGAGTGCCATGTGTTGCAACAACACTATGTTGCTGCCTCATGTGGCAGCAGTGAAGGTTGCCAGGCACCGCCACCACCACCCTGCCAACCTCACCTCTCAGCCTCAACAAGCAATTCCCGTAAGGCTTAATGATCAGAGTGCCACCACCACGCCCACGCCGCCCACGCTCCAGCTGGTACACCATGGCGACACACACGTGGCACTCCTGCCATATATATAGCCATAGTGTCGAGGGCATATTGCCAAGGCGGCGGTGTGACAGTGTAAGGCCGCCACCCCTCTGTCTGGTTGGTCACTGCTGCACTCACACCTGCACTCAACATCAATGGTTAAATGAAGATGGTGGATTATAGGAAGCGGATTTATTGCACTAAATTATACACCACATACACCTGTACCATTACCACCAGTAATAACACGATGACGCCAGTGGAAATAAGTAACTTTGACTCTTGGGGGTTATCCTAGGTACTTTACACATTACTATATATGATAATCTATCTTAACAGTATTTATGTAAACCTGTACTTAAGTAATCTACTTACTTAATTACTAACGTCTAGTCACATTATGAAGCCATATTGATCACGTACGTATAAACTTTAATGTGTAATGACTAGGCTTCTTTCTTGTGTTTATGTGTTTACGTCTAAAATTAAATATTTATAAATATATAGTGTGTTTTATCTAGTTTACATGTGTGTTTTATGTTTTATCTGTGTTTTGTTTTAACTGGGAATTATATGTGTTATACTTGTTTTATTTGTAATACACTTGTTAGACCTGTGTTATACCTGTAATACACTTGTTAGACCTGTGTTATACCTGTAATACACTTGTTAGACCTGTGTTATACCTGTAATACACTTGTTAGACCTGTGTTATACCTGTAATACGTGAATAACTCCTTATTCAGGTCCCGAAAAAAATCGTCTTAGATTCACCAGAGGCGTTACTGCTGCAGCAGTTATAGGGTGTGCGTCTCGGGAGATATACTCGATACAGTACTTACCCCAAGGTCCTGCTGTAGTGCCGTATGCAGTCTTTGCTCCTCTCCTTCATTGAGCCTGTACTCCGTCTGTGGTCTTCTTTGTTAGTTTCCATTCTTCATAACTTCGCACTTGTTGGGGTTGAACTCTAGCAGTCACTTTTCAGACCAGACCAGTAGCCTGTCCGTACAATAACAATGCCAATAAATTGTATTATTATTATTTATTATTATTATTATTATTATTATTATTATTATTATTACTCATTGGGAAGCTTTAAATGTGTGGGGGTTACAGCAGCCTGACAGACCATCCAGCAGCCTGACAGACCATCCAGCAGCCTGACAGACCATCCAGCAGCCTGACAGACCATCCAGCAGCCTGACAGACCATCCAGCAGCCTGACATATCATCCAGCAGCCTGACAGACCATCCAGCAGCCTGACAGACCATCCAGCAGCCTGACATATCATCCAGCAGCCTGACAGACCATCCAGCAGCCTGACAGACCATCCAGCAGCCTGACAGACCATCCAGCAGCCTGACAGATCATCCAGCAGCTGAGAGACCATCATGTAGCCTGACAAAGCATCCACCAGCCTGACAGACCATTATGTAGCCTGACAGATCATCCAGCAGGTGACAGACCATCATGTAGCCTGACAAACCATTCGGCAGCCTGACAGACTATCCAGCAGCCTGACAGACCAACATGTAGCCTGACTGACCATCCAGCAGCCTGACAGATCACCAAGCAGCCTGACAGACCATACAGTAGCCTGACAGACCATCCAGCAGCCTGACAGACAATCCAGTAGCCTGACAAACCATCCAGCAGCCTGACAGACAATCCAACAGCCTGACAGATCATCATATAGCCTGACAGACCATCCAGGAGCCTGAAAGACCATCTTGTAGCCTGACAGACCATCCAGCAGTCTGACTGATCATCATGTAGCCTGACAGACCATGTAGACTGACAGACCATCATGTAGACTGGCAGACCATCATGTAGACTGGCAGACCATCATGAAGCCTGACAAACCATCCAGCAGCCTGACAGACAATCCATCAGCCTGACAGACCGTCCAGTAGCCTCAATGAAGATCCAACAGCCTGACAGACCATCCAGCAGCCTGAAAGACCATCATGTAGCCTCACAGGCCATCATGGAGCCTGACAGACCATCATGTAGCCTGACAGACCATCATGTAGCCTGACAGAACATCATGTAGCCTGACAGATCATCATGTAGCCTGACAGACCTTCGGGCAGCCTGACAGACCATCATGTAGCCTGACAGATCATCATGTAGCCTGACAGACCTTCGGGCAGCCTGACAGAGCATCATGTTGCCTGACAGATCATGTAGCCTGACAGACCTTCATGTAGCCTGACAGACCATCCTGTAGCCTGACAGACCATCATGTAGCCTGACAGACCATCATGTAGCCTGACAGACCATCATGTAGCCTGACAGATCATCGGGCAACCTGACAGACCATCATGTAGCCTGACAGACCATCATGTTGCCTGACAGACCATCATGTTGCCTGACAGACCATCATGTTGCCTGACAAAACATCATGTAGCCTGACAGACCATCATGTAGCCTGACAGACCATCGGGCAACCTGACAGACCATCATGTAGCCTGACAGACCTTCATGTAGCCTGACAGACATTCATGTAGCCTGACAGACCATCATGAAGCCTGACAGACCATCATGTAGCCTGACAGACCATCATGTTGCCTGACAAAACATCATGTAGCCTGACAGACCATCATGTAGCCTGACAGACCATCGAGCAACCTGACAGACGATCATGTAGCCTGACAGACCATCATGTAGCCTGACAGACCATCATGTTGCCTGACAGACCATCATGTAGCCTGACAGACCATCATGTTGCCTGACAGACCATCATGTAGCCTGACAGACATCATGTTGCCTGACAGACCATCATGTTGCCTGACAGACCATCATGTTGCCTGACAGACCATCATGTAGCCTGACAGACCATCATGTTGCCTGACAGACCATCATGTAGCCTGACAGACCATCATGTTGCCTGACAGACCATCATGTAGCCTGACAGACCATCATGTAGCCTGACAGACCATCATGTAGCCTGACAGATCATCGGGCAACCTGACAGACCATCATGTAGCCTGACAGACTATCATGTTGCCTGACAGACCATCATGTTGCCTGACAGACCATCATGTTGCCTGACAAAACATCATGTAGCCTGACAGACCATCATGTAGCCTGACAGACCATCGGGCAACCTGACAGACCATCATGTAGCCTGACAGACCTTCATGTAGCCTGACAGACATTCATGTAGTCTGACAGACCATCATGAAGCCTGACAGACCATCATGTAGCCTGACAGACCATCATGTTGCCTGACAGACCATCATGTTGCCTGACAGACCATCATGTAGCCTGACAGACCATCATGTTGCCTGACAGACCATCATGTAGCCTGACAGACCATCATGTTGCCTGACAGACCATCATGTAGCCTGACAGACCATCATGTTGCCTGACAGACCATCATGTTGCCTGACAGACCATCATGTTGCCTGACAGACCATCATGTAGCCTGACAGACCATCATGTTGCCTGACAGACCATCATGTTGCCTGACAGACCATCATGTTGCCTGACAGACCATCATGTTGCCTGACAGACCATCATGTAGCCTGACAGACCATCATGTTGCCTGACAGACCATCATGTTGCCTGACAGACCATCATGTTGCCTGACAGACCATCATGTTGCCTGACAGACCATCATGTAGCCTGACAGACCATCATGTAGCCTGACAGACCATCATGTAGCCTGACAGACCATCATGTAGCCTGACAGACCATCATGTTGCCTGACAGACCATCATGTTGCCTGACAGACCATGTTGCCTGACAGACCATCATGTTGCCTGACAGACCATCATGTAGCCTGACAGACCATCATGTTGCCTGACAGACCATCATGTAGCCTGACAGACCATCATGTAGCCTGACAGACCATCATGTAGCCTGACAGACCATCATGTAGCCTGACAGACCATCATGTTGCCTGACAGACCATCATGTAGCCTGACAGACCATCATGTAGCCTGACAGACCATCATGTAGCCTGACAGACCATCATGTAGCCTGACAGACCATCATGTAGCCTGACAGACCATCCGGCAGTTTATACAGTTTATACATAAAGATCTGTATGTGTGTTTTACGTAATCTGCCATAAACATCTGGCTCTCTAAATACATCTGGTGGTGGGCAGCAGCAGCAGGTGTGGTGGTGGAGGTGGGCAGCAGCAGGTGTGGCAGTAGTGGGTAGCAGCAGGTGTAGGAGTGATGGACAGCAAGTGTAGTGGTTTTTGTGGGCAGCAGCAGGTGTGGTGGTGGAGGTGGGCAGCAGCAGGTGTAGGAGTGATGGACAGCAAGTGTAGTGGTTTTT